TAATCTTATGATTTAATGGTAGATGAGGTTGAGAGTGCAATGGTAGAAATGTCAAACATTGTATAGGAGATAGAAGGACAAGTACGACACCATAATGAGATGCTATCAAATGGCCCATGTTAGGCATTGTCATCCATCGATCATACGGGGCACCTATATCAAAGTAATGCATAATATATAACAACTCCATAACCCTTTCAATGCTGCTATATAGTTTTACATAGGCATCATAATTACATTTCATTTCAATAATAAGATCACGTCTAATACATAACCAAGCTTCCTCTCCTAATCCAAGGGAACTAGCCACTGTCCTAAAACCACAATGACCATCGAACTTAACATCAACAATGTTAAATATACAATCTTTGACTCTGTTATGGAAACAAGTTATGTAAGGGTATAAAGTATTCATACGTGATCGCCTAACTTTAAGTTTATCCTTCTTTGAAACTTTGACGGAACTATCGGTGCTACGAAAATTATTATTGTTACTTGAGTCAACAATTTCAAAATATGAAGGAACTTTTAGTTGAAGTATCAACTTTTGATGAAGGTCGGCCCTGGGTTTTAACTTTCTCAGTAGGTGGCACCAAAGAAGTAGTGGAGGGTTCATACATTTCTCGTAATTTCATTTTAAGAAGTACTTTATATGTATCGTTGCATTCGCCAAACAATCTTTGAATATTCTCTAATTCAATTGCAATATTTAACTTGGAAGAAGTATCATTTAATGGAACCAAAATATCTAATTTTCTCCAATGAAGGTGAACAGCTAACAATGGAATAGGACGACCTGTAATTATGTATTCTGAAATTTCACATGCACATGGCAAGCCGTGTGTGGATCTAAGAGTGCAATGACAAACATTTTTGTCGAAATCAATATATTCTGCTTGATTTGACTGTCTTGATATAAGATCCATTGCATTCTTGGACACAAAACCACGTAGCTCCCTAAACAGGCTACATTACGAATGGGGGATAGTTAGGGATGTAAACGAGCGGGGTCGAGCCGGCTCGCGAGCCTAAAGTTTCGGCTCGGGCTTGACCCGGTTAAAATGGTCGAGCTTTTTTGCGGGCTCTTACTCGGCCAAAAAAAATAGGCAGCTCGTTTTCTCCCCCCCTCCCCCCCCCTTTTCCCCCCCAAGATGTTGCCTTCAAGCCTCAATTTAATTTTTTTTATTTAAAAAGGTCGCGAGCTCATGGGCCGGCTCGGGTCTACCGAGCCCCAAGCCGAGTCACAGGCGACCTGAGCCGACGAGCCCGATTGCCATCCCTAAGGATAGTTCATACCAACCATACATAGTGTTTTGATCTCTAACAATTGATAAAATCATATAAGTTTTAAGAGTCTGAACCCTAGATTCACACAGTTCTTAAAGTTATATTAAAATAAGTTCATGCTTTATTCAAACGAAGCTTTTATCTCACTAAATTGCAATTACACTAGGTGATGCATAACTTACCATGAAGTTTCAAAACCGCCTTGTGATGATCCAAGGTGTTTCTTCAACTTAAGATGCGCACTCTCAACGCTGCGACTAATATAAATATACTTTACTTAATTAGATAAACTGACAAAAAATTGTTTGCCGAATAAAAAATAAATAATGTTGAAACTAAAATTAAATATAAGCATTATACATTTTACCTATTTGTTGTGACATTACCAAAGTGCATAACTTGATTTGTCCAACCAGTAATGAATTTCTCTTTATATTTACTCAACAAGATCCTGTAACATAATCCAATGCCTTCGAAAATTTTTCAAATTGGAAATATAAAGCCTTGGCCAATTATTCATATATCTCCTGTGTAGTAGATGCAACGAGTACACTCCAACTCCTACAGAAAGTGTCCCATTCTTCATTTCGCTCAAAAAACTTCTTTGTATTGGCCGATACATTTTTCAATATGCTCCATATGCATAGTAGATTCTTGGCACTAGGAAAAATCTTTTCAATTGATTGAATAAGAGCGAGTTCCCTATCTGTGACAATGACATGCAGCAAGACATCATGATTCATTAAAATTTTCAACTTTTCCATTGCCCAACTATAATTTACTTCCCGTTCGGCTTCCATGAATACAAAAGCAACATAAAATGTCATTTGGGTCTAAGTAACCCCATCGATCTCAAAAAGAGGGTGTCCATACCTATTGGTTTTGTAAGTACAATCCATTATAAGCACGCATGAGAAGGCATGTAAGAAATCGACAGACATTGATGAGCAAAGAAAAGGTCTTAACTTCATCTGTTCTTTTATGAGACCTACGCCACTCGATATAATTGTGTTCTTTTAACTTGCTCATTAAACGTTGCATTTATGTTTTTCCTGCCTTTTCAATCAATCTATACCTTGCACGTGCATTGTAAATAGTCCTCATTGTGCTAACATTATTTGGATCCCGTTCTTTCAAAGTCATCAATATGTTCCTAGGTTTTACCAAACTTTTTGATAGATCGATTAAAATTTGCTCCTCTTCATTAGTTAATCTTTGTACATAAGGATGTCCTTCTAAATGTTATGCTCGTGGATGATTATGTAGTCCGCACGATACCATTAATATACAATCGTCCTCCGTCGACAACTTCACACCATTTAGATCAAATGGGCATTCACACTTATGTGTTCCAACAAACCTCATTCGTTTTGGTTCATGATCTGAATGATTTTTACGTTTTTTATATTTTTCACTATGCTCACATCCATAGCGTATACACGGCTTGCATCCTTACCACCATGCTCGGAATGTATTATAAAAATAATCGAACCAAGTTCCTTTCCAACCATTCGAACCCAATTACATAATGACTCTCGACTATGGAATACCTACACAATCAATATTAAAAAACTATATTAAAAAAACTGCAACAAGAGTTGAATTAATACATAAATTTAATATTTGATTTATTCATACTTGGTCAATAGTAAAGTATTGGATATAATCGTATATGTTGAAATCGTCATCATTTCCTGACATTTAGAACAAATAGAAGTAAATTATGATAAGTTATTATAAATTAAATTTATAATAGTCCTGCAAATAAATACAATATAATATTAAGAACTTACTTGTTGATTAAGAACAACTTTCGAGAATTCAGATGAAGTCGTAGTGTCAATAGCTACATCCATTCGCACCAAACTAAATATCATAATTCAGTTAGAGAATAGGTCTACTCAGCAATTATGTTGACAAACAATAATGCATGCACACGGAAATTCATATACTTACATATACAAAAGAAAAATGTCATGCATAGAGAAAATTCGATGGAAACTAACTGACTTCATACACAAGTCCACGAAAACTCCTTATTTAAAAAAGAAAAAAAGTAAAATCCACATAAATTGACATGCCCACATAATCACAAATTCATTTTCATACCAATATACAAGCAATTTATGGAATCAGTGGGCAGCCTTTGTCTCATTCATTTGATATATGCATGTAGTTCGTGGAATTATGGTGTGTAAATTCATAAACCTATTTTAACAATTAAAATCATAATCTTCCATACTTGTTTTAACAAATATATATATATATATATATAGCATGTAGTTCGTGGAATTATGGTGCGTAAATTCATAAACCTATTTTAACAATTAAAATCATAATCTTCCATACTTGTTTTAACAAATATATATTTATTGATTCCAAAATTTCAAACTTGACAAATAAATTGAAAAAATAAATTCATTTACCATGACGAAAAGAAAATTATCTTGCACAATGGAAGAAAAGCCGCCAGAAAAACCATGGCAAGAGATGTTGGGGGAAAAGAAAGAATGAAATTAGGTTTTATATTTGTGGCGTAACAATAATTTATTTAATTAAAAAGTATATTAGAAGCCTAATTATGTAATTTTACTTAAAGATATTTTAGTAAATAAGAAAATCATGGTATACTTAGTGAAATTTGTAGTGTATAATTACCCAATTCAATTTTTTGACCATTATTTTACTGTTTTCAACTGTCATTATTGATTTTTTTCACTCACAGATGAAAAATCAATTCTTATAATCACTATTAAACATGCCTAAATAAGTTAGAATAAAAAGACATTAATACCATTTTAATTATAAAACAAAAATAACATATCTCAATTCAAATTTTGAACTAAAGTCTCTTCTCCAACGCAACTAATAGCACCTTCATTTACATCTTCTCTAACACTAAAACCTAAAAAATTTATCGAAATTTAGTACAAAGATCTCGTGAATATCCGTTACTTTAGATTGGTAAATGCATTCGCATATATTTAATGTTGTTTTTTCTAAAATTAGCTCACAATTTTAATTATTAAACCTTATTTTGACTTATTTTAGCATTTATATATACATTTTTATAATTTATTGGTTAAATTTTTTAAACAAAAAATGAAAATTTTATCTAAACGGTATGACCATTTATTATCATTGGGCCCTAAACTTCATTTGGGTCACTGATAACAAACGCACAGGATGTTGTTTGATAACAAATGGCAAGATGGCGTCTGGACCTTCTAATATCGACAAACAAACCCAAACAGCCCCGACCTTCCATAATGGACCATTTGTTTAGCTTTTTTCCCCCTTCATCTAACTCTTTTTTAAATTGTGAATTATAATACAAATATGAAATCAGTATTCATTCCAATTTGTTACTTTGGTGAGTTTAAAAGGAGTAAAAATGTTAATGATCATGAAACTGAACAAGTGATGGAGAGGGTGTTTCTGCAATTATTTATTTATTTATTTTATTATTATTATTATTTTTTTTTAAGGAAAATGCTACTTACACACCACGGGTGTGTAAACATGGTGTTGCACCCCCTCATATTGAGGGAAGCCTATGCAAAACATGGGTTAGGGTGTAACCTGGGTGCATACTGTTATGTACGTGTAGCATCTCCCTTTTTTTAACATTAGCTATATAATATATGGCATGTATCTTGATTTACAAAACATTCTGATTTACAAAACATTCTCAATGTTGATCCCTCTGAATATGAGATAGATTTGTGATTTCTATTTTCGACCATTCAAATATTTTTGTTCCATCGATAAAGATTACATTTGAAATGAAAATGAGGTTACTAATTCAACTGAACAAAGACTACAATACACTTATTACCCTTCATCACCTCGACCACGCCATTCAGTACAACAATCACATCCTCCATTGTCTCGATCGTCACTCCTCCTGTCTCCTGCTCCATCATTACCATCACATCCTCTGTCATCCCTATAACTACTTTCGTCACATCCCTTGTCATCCTATTTTGTCACCCCCTTATCTCACCTTTTATCAAGCATATCCCATCTACCTCTTGTTTATAATATTTGCCATCCAGACCCACCACTCCTAGTCATCCTTCATTACTCTCACCATCTCCTACATTACCACTATTGTCCTCCCTGAACTCTCCTTATTGGTATGACGGTGGGGTCTTCCAACTAAATTATAAAGTCCACCTTCTTATCTAAAACTCCTAGATCTGATTTTAGAAATCATAGCTCATATCGTTATGCTCCTATCTTATCTCATATAACTATAGTCAGGTTTCTAATCAAAAGCTCAGTCAAATCATCTGAAGAAAATCAATGCCGTGCATGCTCACGACTCGATGATGGAGATCGATTAGGTGTAGATGATTGACTAGGGAAGGATCTTGATGAGAAAAAGGAAATTGATGTCGTGTAGGATATCTCATGGCTAAAGAAGATATGCAAGGAGACAAAGCTCACTATTCAAATGGATAGCGCTCCTACATAAATAAGAAGATTGACAATTAATACATTTAAATCACTTATGACAACATAAAACATAAATTATAATTAAATCACATGTAATAATAGAAAACATAAATCTACACAACTTTCCTCCATCTGAACATAATTAGATAATAGATCATCTTGACTAGGTTGAATAGAAGAGTCCCACATGTAACTTTGATCCACTTCTCTATTAATACCGTCAACTCACTATGGACTTCAAGCTGAAGTATTGATATTTCAATGAGTTAATGGTCATTTATCGAGTCGATAAACAAATATAAAATACAAATATAACACTCACTCGAGAATCGCTAAGTATAGCAGGTTCATCTTTGGCACTCGTGATATCCAGTGCTTAACAACGATTTATCCGAAGACACCTCGTGTACTTACTTTGGGCCCACCTCCCATCAAAGCGAAAATAGACTCCTATGCCCATATTTACAACACGCACAACTATTAGAATTTAATAATATATTAAAATCATAAGATTTGACATTTACCTGGATGGCCAATAGAAGGTCATATCCATTATATTTGCACTCATCTTTCCATGACTTAGGCATTGAATACCCTTCCTAACATATCCATAAAAACATCTTCGACCTTATGGATAGTTGTTGAATGCATCGCTATATTAACAACAAACAACGAGAAAAGATCAATCAATAGACAATGAGAAAAGATCAATCAATGTCTTATGGTATTTGCACATTGGCACATTCTCCAGTATAAACACTAATCCTAGCCTAAATTTATCTTTTATATTTGAGCAACTCTTGAATGCAATCTCCAAATGCAATCTCCAATTGTGCAGATGTAACTATAGACCTTCTTCCAAAATATTCATTTAATAGTTTTTATTCTGTAGAATATTGAGCCGCATAGCCTCATCACTTCCTGAGTTTAATCCTATAATAAGGGTAAACTCAAAAATCGAAAATTGGGCTACCCCTCTAACCCAAAATGCAATATCACCTTTGATAGACTTAAGCAATCAAAGTAAGAGGTTGTTGATGAGATGCCTTGAGAATTGCATGTGCCTCATTTGATAGAGCTTCCAAAGGCATTCCTGGTGTAGTAGAAGTAATCATCATCGAGTGCGAGAGCACCTTCTTAAAGCTCAAATAGTTACAATTTGATGTAATTTCCTTGGGATGTTTTCTCAATCTAGTGTTAATAGTGTACTCCATCCTTCAATAACTTACAATTATTAATATCTTACTAACTCATATATAAAACAATGCGTAGTTTCCAAAAATCAGAATAAGCGACTGTATACTACCAATAAGCAAGAAAGAAATTCATTTCATCGCACAATTATATACTACATTTCATTTAAAAAAAAAAAAAAAAAAAGAAAGGGCCACATTTTCTTACTTGCATTAGTGAGGCATCTGCATCACCGACATTGACATTTTCGTGAAGTGGGTCTTCATATACTTGCGTAAAGGTCGGTACCCGTAGAGTTGGTGAAGCAAGCATCGTATCGACGCCATCATGATAGGTGCGATGAATCCCTAATTCATCCATTTTTTCAAAATTTTCTTCAATTTACGAAAATTTACACCTTAATACATGAATTTTTGGAGCATAAATAATATGACCCATCAACATTATAAATAGAAAATAAAAAATTTATAAACTTCCCAGACAAAATAAAGAAAACAAACTACTAAAATAGAATCTAACTTTGAATTTTAGAGAAGAAAATGAAGTTGAAGTTTCACTTCAAAATCTAACTTGGGAAGGTTGGTTTAAGTCAATTCGATTTTGCCTATTCTTTTCTATCTTTTTGAACGTTCAAATGAGGGATAGATTTGAGATTTTTTTTCTTTTTATATTATGAAATTTGGTCAATGGTAATTCTAGTAAATGGGTTGGAACAGGTAATTCCTTAATGTAGATTGTAATGGATCGATCTACTCAAGCCAGCTCGCCTACGCCTAGACGCTGCCCAATTCGTTCATCAATTAACCGAGCCACAGGCTCTTGTCCAACCATGGGTCTTGCTCATGAGAAAATGAGCTGTGTCAGGTTAAAGTGCAAACCTTATTTAATTTTTGAGTAATTGCACTTGGGGCTTCTAACCTTTAAAAGTTGTGAAATTTAAGTCTAACCCTTTTATTTTTGGCACCATGTGTAACTAACCTATTAAAAATGTATGACTAAACAATGTCATATTAGCAATTCAAAGTCATTTTGTTTAAAATGAACATTCTACCACTCATTTCAAATTAAACGAAAAAAATTGAAGAAACTAAAAAAAGGTAGAATGAAATGAAAAAGGATAAAAAATGAAACCCCCATTTCGGAATCATTGGCAAACACTCTTCCTATCCCCATCCCCCTTTCCTAAAAGCTCCCCTACCTTGCCATCCGCTATCGATTTTCTCTATAGTGATATTTAAAATGCCCAGGGGGGTGTTTTTGATGACGATAAAAATCAGATCAACAAATTCTCACTCCTAACCAGGACTTTTACCTCCAAATCTCAATATTTTGATGCTTAAACTAAAACTATAGATGAATTTGCTATTTGAGATTGAGAGATTTGAATTGTATGCGCTTCTCTTTAAATGATGGGATATTTATAAATTTTCCTCTAAACTTTGGGATAATTAGATAATTTTGAGAGTATGACAGATGGCGGCTTTCTATTGGCTTTCATGTAATTGGTTTGGTTAAGAATTACACTTTATTCATTGGCTTATATGTCTTTTAATGATAGCTTGTAGCCAGCCTGGGCAAAGGAATGGTTCACAAGCTTTAAACAAGCATTATATATTTTTGTTTCTCTCGCATATGGTTTTACATTTTGCCAATAGCCAAGTTTGCAGATTTCATTTCGTTGTTTAACAAATAGTCCTCAGAGTCTGATTTTATTATTTATATTAAATCTAGAATTTTAATTGGATTTACTATGATTGACGAACCCTCGCCTTGCTCATCCTTGTTCGTTTGGAAGGACATGGAGAACGTGTTGGTGATCATTATCTTTTTACGCACTCTAATGGGCCTCTATAATATCTTTTCAAACTGACTCTCGGAGTGCATCTAATGATTCTAATTCAAGGAGATCTAATCTTAGAATTGAACTTCTAGCACATTTTCATTTTCTGTTGAAGTGTTATACCTTAATGTGCTCTTTTATAAGTTTATTACTCATCTGGTGTATGCATTAATCCAGAACTTTTTGGCCAAGCAGGGAGCTTTCGACTTGGAGCTGAGCATGCTAGTTGATCTTAATGAGAGTGATGGTGAAACCGTTGAGACCTTGGGGAATTTCTAGTGATCTTTCTAATTAGAACTTGGATGATATTAGGACCCATTTCACATTCTCAATGATATAGAGCTATTATGTCCTTGATAGTGTCAAACAGCAAATTGCCCATCCCTAGGTTGTATAGTTATTCATAAACATTCAATGGATATGGGGTATAGAGTCTTCTTTCACCACTTTTTTTTGGAGATCTTCTTTCCTCATTAAATATGGTGCCTTCCCACCTTGCTTCAAATGGGTAGGCCCAATTATTTAGGCCCTTTTTGTTATGGAGATCCGCAGATGCAAAAGGAGTATTTGCAAGATATATTCCATTCTATGTACGATCCTATGCTATTGGGGAATAATGTGAATCCTCGAGGGTACTACTCATTTTCTTCTCGTTTCTCTAGAACCTGGTCAGAGTTGGTAATTACCCTTGCCATGGTGTATAATTGGAAAGAGAATTTGTTTTCTTTGTTGGAGACAATTGGGGACTTCAACCCAACAATCCCAGCCTTTTAGTAGTTATACCTTAAACTTATTGTAAGTGTTAATTCGTTACTTGTCTTTTCACTAAGACTTTTATGTTCTAATTTTGGTGATTTGGTATAAGCGAACTACCTTTTTTGGTTTGGAAATGAACTCTCAGCAAACTTCATGTCCTTTTGGCTCTTATCCTTAATTTTGCTTGTTGAAGTTCTCGAAACTGGTAGATTGATTCATCCCTTAAATTTCAACTTTTATAACCTCGCCATTCAAACTACCATGGGTAAATACATGTATTGACTTATTTATCCGTAGTTCTAGGTATTTAATTGATTACTATTATCATTTTTAATGCCTTTTCTCTACTTCTTTTATAGTGCAGATTGAATTTGATGCAAACCCTTATAAATATTAGAGAATTTCTTCGCCTAAGATTTAGTCTTTGGCGAACCTAGAGGGGCTACTAACATTCCTATTGGGAATTCGATCACCAAGCTTACCATGAAAGGGTTAGGGAAATCACAGTCCCGTACTGTTGATGTTTTGGATCCAGGGTCATTGCCTTTAGAAGTAACATCTTTTGCCTTGCTTATCCATGCTAAGAAACTTAAAGGAAAGAGGAAAGAGTTAAGTAGATTCGGGAAAGCCCCCAGGGCACATCTCCAAGTGGTAAAAGAGGTGGATGGAGAAATTCAGCTTTGCTTGAGACTGCCGCGTCAAGGGTTCGAATCTTGAAATATGGATTTGGCTCTTGGGTAAGTGCAAGTGTACAAGCAGCCTTCCACCCTATACCCTTAGAGGCATAACCTGCGATTTACCTCCCTCACGATACTCCAGGGCAAGGGCGGTGGGGGACCCTTAAAGTTGGGGTTTAACCTTTTTTTTAAGTAGATTAGGGAAAAAAATCGATCCCAAGAATCTTTTCCTCCCTTGATTTTGGATTTTGCTTAGTTTTCACTGCCGTGATGAGCTGGAAACAAGGATTTTATCCTTTTTTCCTCTGTTACCTGGACTGCCAGGTTATGTTATGCCTGTTTAATTAATCCTAGGTTAAAATGGCTAAAGACCTTACTCCTCCACAAAGGGAGAAATGATTTATACTCATCTACTGTGAGCTACCATATTACTCTAACATCAGTAGGTGCAGTCGGATTTTGCATTAATCGAGTCAATTGTTTGAATAAGAAAGTTCAAACTTTAGGAAGAATGTAACACACTCCAGATGAAATTGGATGTGGTTGAGGAGGAAAAATCACGGTATAATAACATGTGCCAAAGTGCTGAGAATACGCTAAGACAGAAGCTGTTCTTTTGGTTGATATCAGGATATTCATCTTAGATTTAATGAAGACTCATTTAGATAATCGAGCTTATATTCAACGGATAGGCTGCAAACTTACCAAGCTAAAGAGGAACTCCAAATGTCTAAGATTGATTTTTTTTTTTTTTTTTTTTACGATGAAATATGGTACTTAGGCAAGAGATGAACCGATCTTAATCAGTCAAAAGCTAAAAAAGAAAAAGAAGAAGCAAAGCTAGACTTTCTATTGCGGAGTTTGCAGTTGCTGAAAATAAGGCTTATTAAGCCAAACTTTTTGAAGTCCATGCTAGAAAGGGAAAACATGGTTCTCAATATTATCAGGTAGTTTCATCCCTAATGAAACATAATTTTTTTAGAGGTTTGTGAAAATGATGTTAGTGACACCTAGTCTTCCAAAGTTCCTCTACTAGCCTCTACGGCATTATATGTTTTTTCTCCCATTCTGTTGATCCTTTTCAGCATGCAGATTCTTATATTATTCCTCCATGTGAGGTCACTCCTATAATTGAGATAGCTGACGTTCAGAGCAATTGACGGCCTTTCTATCCTTTGATTCAATATGGAAAAATGTATTTAATGCCTTTGGGTTCTTTTTTTGGCTTTTATATATGGTCACTTTTTCTTTTCTTTTTTTGGTTTATTTTGGCCGACAGCCATATTTTGCATAATTGTAAATAATTTCATAATGTATCTCGTAAAATATGAACCATACAAAACTTATCACTGAAACATCCATAGGCTCACTCCTTATAGTTTTCGATTGTGATGGGATGAAATTCAATCCAACTTTCCTTGACATAGTAACCCTCATCTTTACACCATTGTCGTTGGCAGGATAAACCTTACCCTCAAGTATAGCTTTGTTAGCGGACAAAGTCTTGCCTTCAATCATATTTCTTTCAATGGAAAGAGTATCGGCTTCAATGATGGAAACATTGGTAAAATTAACCTCGCCATAACTCTAAGTTTCATAATGAACGGAAGAGGCCCACCTTTCAATTTTTTGTTCACGGAATTGCTATGATCATGTTCACAACCAACTTTGGTTTCACCAATTTTTTGTTCATGCTTTTCCCAGTACCCGAAAGGAGTTTTTAAAGCATGAATTCAAGTGTAACTAAGTTTTCAGGAAGTAGCTTTCCAACTCTTGTCCAGTAACCACTCTGAGTGGGGATCGACTAGTAGATGATAAGTTCTTTTCTATAAGATCTTTTCGTCCCGACCATGGAAAATCCCTAGATTTCTCCATGCTGGGGTACCCAGGTGGTGCATTAGAGGGAGTAGGCAGCCCTCGCTCCGGTGGTCCCCGTAGGGGCTTAGCTTCGCCGACTGAGAATAGCTGAGCGGGAGGGTACTTTGCTGCGAGGCTTCGCCGATTGAGAACAAAGTCTCCGTTCCTCTATCTTCAGACTCTGGGATCTCCCCCTCCCGAAGGGAGCCTCTGAGCTACGATGGCTACCTTCCTCTCTAATTCACCTCCTGATACCCCAGCTCATCCTTAAAGAATAGAGCGAGCACCCCCCGTGGAATATATCCCCTAGGAACCCAAATTCCCCCGTATGGAGCCACCTTCTTCACCCCGGCATGCCTACTTCCTTATTTCTAAGGGGAAGGTTTCCTTCGATTGTTAAGGTGGTATTACCAACATAATTCTTAGGGTTGCTTTCTTAAGGCATTAAAGTAGCACTCATGTCTCCCTTGACCATGGCTATCCTTTT